TGGACTTCCTATCAGCAGATTATATTCTTTTATGATTTTCTGTGCTTGGAGAAAAGTTCTTTCTGAAAAAACGGGATGGTCTCTGATGTTCTGAGATAAGCCAAAGAACAGAGATTTGTCTGCTTATCCTGACTCTAGTTATAAACGCGGGGCCTGGGTTCCTGTGGCTGTGCCTCTTGGTGGCTGAGGTTTCAAAATGAAAGACAACTAAGGGAAAAGTGGGCTCCAGGCAGTGCTCCATATGGGGCACTGGGCAGATTTGAGAACCCTTGTTGAGTTTTCCCTTTGAGCAGAAATTTCTCTTTCTGAGTATCCCTCTGTTCAAACCTTGAATGGTCGAAGCCTTTGTTTTGATGTAGTAAGTGCTTTCCTTATTAGTTCTAGCTTGGTTCAGTTTTACACAGCTGTACTTGCTATTCAGGCTTAAACACAGGGTTACGGTGGTGAAGACTCCAACTACCATCAGTGACTGCATCTGAAATTAGCTGACGCATCACAGCAGGAGGAAAGAGGACTGCACCATCCCAAGCCACCCGCTAACACCATGATTGCAAAGAGCTGGTTTCAGAGGTTGTTCAGAGAGAAGCCTGGTTATCACCAAGGTCACAGCAGGTAACAGAAAGGAGACGGTTTCATAGGCTTTTGATAGGAATATGAGCAGATGAAACCAAACAGCAGAAATAAACCCTCAGCAACCAGTACGTTTGCCCATCACATCCTGGGTGCATGAATGGTCTCCACAAAAACCACGCATTGGGGCATTTTTCTTCACTGCGCCTAGAGGCAGGGTGAAGGTTTTTACTAAGCATTCTAAAAGAGAAAGTAAGAATTTTGTTTTAAAATATATTGGGGTTTGTGTGTAAATATACATATATTTATATAGTTGGAAGTAGTCATCAGACTGTCAGACAATGATTGTCTCTAGGGCATGGAGTAATGACAGTCATTTCTCTTTCCCCACTTTAGTTGTTGTTTGGAAAAAGATTAAACAGTGGGCAATATTACTTGTAAAATCCAATATATATATATATATATACATTTAAAAAATGGATGGATATATATATATAATTTAAAATATATATATATATTTTAAATATATATATTTAAATAACAAAACAACATAATATAAAATGAGAAATAAGGCATAGTCTATTTATATACACTATTAATGATCAAAAAGTTCAAAATAGCTTTCAAACCTGCTCTATCTATTTAAAATATATATATATATATTTAAAATATATATATTTAAATAACAAAACAACATAATATAAAATGAGAAATAAGGCATAATCTATTTATATACACTATTAATGATCAAAAAGTTCAAAATAGCTTTCAAACCTGCTCTATCTTTTCTAGTCCCTCAGGGTTTCTTCAAACTACTGCCATCTTTTGTCAATGTATTATAGTAGACTCTTAACTAGTTTTCTTACCTCTAGCTGCTTCTTAATTGTGTTCATTCGCAAGTACATCCCCAAATTCCCATTCCAAAATACCCTATGCTCACATTTCTCCCACATTTATAAACTTCTGTTGGCTCTTCACAGCTTCAAGGAGAAAATCCAAACAGCACCCTTCACAACTTGGCTCTGCTGCTTTTTACCACATCGTTGCCTCCTCCGGAGAGTCCAGCCCCACAGACCCAGACCGGGTGGGAGTGCAGCAGAGGGAAGACCATGCAGAATTCAGCATACGCCTGAGCGAATATTTCATCTTAAGAAAGGGTGACAGGTATTTCAGCTTATAAGCTACTAGTATTTAAAATCAACTTCTTATACCAAAGTCTCCTTCCCTCTTGCAGAGTCGACTTGTGCAAAGCTTGTCTTCCTACCTGTGTGTAAGAAACAATATATTGGCTTACCTAGAAAGACAGTAACTGGCTAAAAAAGCTCTGGATGAACCTATCATCTACAGGGTTTCTCAGATTTTGGCAGGGTAGCCTGTATCTTCCCTACCTGAAGTATGCTTCTTTTCCTGTATGCAAAACTACCTGTATAGATAGACCCACAAGCCATGCCTTTGCTTTTCATAGAAAATAATCTAGTCCTTTAACAGATAGTGCCAAGATATGATAGTGAGATCTTACCACACTGCACTGGGCCAGCCTAGCTCCTACTAGTTTTACCAGTTGTAGTGTTTTCTTGCTTCATTACAGTCACCTAAATATAATTTCTGAAACCTAGAATCATTCTTTTGTGGCTAAAGTTTACCACTTCCATTCTGGCCATGTCCCAATATCTTCATTCTACAAGTCACAGGTTTAGCGATGATAAAACAAGATGGCAGTGATCTCCTGTATCCTCCTTAACAAAAGCAAAAATAAACTTCATGGGGATTGATATTTTGCAAGAAAATAAGAACACTGCTTGTTCTTTATGCTATGCTAATGAACTCAACTGATGAGAAATTTCTCAAGTATCTCCCTAGTATAATCAAAATGAATTCAATTTCCTGAAACAGTAAATAGTTATTACTGAACTCACTGCACAATCTTTTCCCTTTTTTTATTTGTTACTATGGAAATCTTCCATTTAAAACACTTAAACTGTTAAATCTAACAAAAATGGAAGGGCTGTAATTCTGTAGGTTGCTAGTTCAGAAAAAGTGCCTCTTTCTGTGATCTGTTACATTTGGCAAATTGCCACTTTCCACAATTTAAATGCCATGGTTTCATGTACGCAAAGTGATATTTTTTAATTGATTACTCATGCGTCTTTAGCCATATGCTTATTATTAGGGTGTGTGCATTTTCATATAATAATTCACTGTTCCCACTTGGCAATTTTGTACCTTTAAATGTGCCAATCACCCATGTAAAACATTGTAAGCCATAGAAAGTATACAAAGAAAAATACGTGTCTCTGAAATTCTGAGATAAAAAGCGCACTGTTTGAAGACAGCTTAATTTTTCCCACAGTCCAATTCCAACACACAATATCTTCTACAACAGCTAGAATCAGTGGATGCAATTCCTGAAAACTTGTATCATTTTGAAGTTTTTATAATGAGTAAATTGCACTCATGACCTTATTGAAAAGATCTATAATCATGATCAGAAATGGCTAGAAATGAAAAACAAAATGGTAGAGACATATACTGTCAAATAGGCATCACCACAAGCCTCCTGTATATAAATGCACTGCAACTATTCCTGCCTCTAACATCCCTCAAGAATAAACTTAGAGCAAATGGTGCCAGTGTCTTTAAGCTGTTGCATGTGGTATTGTGTTTGTTTTAATATGAAATAATTATTATCTTCACAGGCTTTGATGATGCCCATCATTCCTTATAAGAAGTTCAATGGCTATCAATTTACCAACATACGTTTGGAGATCTAATTTTTTTCTGTCTATTGCATTTCACTGCCCTAACTCATGTTTTACTATTCCATTGGCTCAGGGATAGATAGAAAAAATAAAATAAAATTCAAGTTGGTTTCACAGATGGTAAATGTGTGTTATGAATTTGAAACATACTATTGGAAACATACTATCTATGCTCATTGAGTATATATTTTAGAACTTCCTCTAAGATACTTTATGAATAAAACCATAATCCAGAACCATTCACTATCTTGGTATTAGAGTTCTGCATAGTTTCATAAAATATTCACTAACCCCCCCAACAAAGAACTCATTCCAAACTTATATCTTCTGAATTACACAATATAGGTAAAAATCATCTTTTCAGTTTTCATGAGAGCTGGTATTTTGCAAGACAAGAAGAACACTGCTTATTCTTTATGCTGTACTGAGGAGCTCAACAGATGAGAAAACCAGTCAAATGCCATTAATCCATTACATGATTACACAAAGAACAGAAGTAACAATGAAAAATCAGATTCAACTAATTTCTGGAAGCACAGACTTTTCTCAATTTGAGACATTTCTATTTCATTCCTTATTTTATTCATTTAGGACACTAAATAACATGGGATTAGACTAGACCTCCAATTTCCTCACGTCTAATCAAGCTATAACCAGGCTTTCTCCTGTAGAGTGTGTCACCTAGAACTCTAGGTCTCATTTCTGACCTCAGTTGTACCAACCTGTCAGAGGTGGCTACATCCTGTGAAGGATACCACATCTTATTAGAATCAACATATTAGGGTTGTCCAATTTGCATATACACAAAGTTATAGCTGGATGGGTGAGTACAGGAGTCACGTGTATGAATCATACCCAGAATCAGCATAAGTTTGCCTAAATTAAAGATCCATGAAACGTGTAACTACCTGGGGAAAGCATGTGCACTAACATATTCTGACCCTCTAATTGTGAAAACCTTGAACAGCTTGATAACATTTGCTCTATATGACATACTGTTCCTTCCTCTTCTGGAAAGTTGAGTCTGCCGTCTCACGATGACTCATTCGATGTGATTAATGTACATCACCCTGTAGGGAGCCTAGGGTGGAAAGGTGACCCAAACTCTTCTATATGAGCCCATCTGGCTACATTTTGTGCATATATAACTGGTCAACTCTAATATGTTGTATAGCTCACATACTAGATCCAAGGCAGTGACAACCTACATAGCCACCAAGAAGAGAGAGAGAACATCTATATCAGTGACAGTAGTGACCATCACATGCTCCCACCTGGAAGATAAGGTACTGTGGTCCTCTTCTGCCATCCCAAAGAAATATGTGTGTAAGCAAAGGGGGAGGGGAATGAATGAATAGGAAAGTTTAATTTGGATAGACTAGATAACTTCATACTGGATAATCTCTTGCTAAATTGAGTAATTCTATAATAAATATGATTAACTTAGAAAGTTTACCTCTAAATTGGTTTCCAGCAGAATGAATGTGGCACAGTTCACGGCCAGTTTTAGACTCTATAGCATTGATGCCCTTTAGTCCAGGGTTTCTCTACTCTTGGAAATACCATTCTCTCTTTATAAAACTTCTTACTTGATACAAACAATTTGGTTTCAATACTTACTAAAACAAACATATTTTTGAAATGTATGTTGTGATGTGCATTTTCACTTACCTTTTCCGCTGATTGTGCCGTGCCAAAAAAAATTGGAATGAAGGCAAGCCATACTATACATGTCGTGTACATAGTGAATCCAATGGGCTTGGCTTCATTAAAATTCTCTGGTACACCCCGAGTCTTGATGGCGTACACAGTACATGTGACCATAAGAAGAATGCTATATCCCAAGGAGCAAATGATTTGGAGATCTGTAATGTCACATTTGAGAACTCCCCTGGCCTGCTCAGGGTTCATTGTCTTATGTTCATCATAGTCTATGATTATGTTGGGAGGGTCAACACCAAACCAAATGAAAACACCTAGAAGCTGAACTGATATTAAACTGGAAGTGATTGCCAGCTGAGACGTCGGGCTTATGAGTCTGGGAGCTGTCACCGATTTCTTGCCCTGTTCAAATATGCGATAAATCCTATTGGTTTTGGTCAAGAGAGCTGCATAACTAATGCACATACCCAAACCCAAGAAAACTCTCCGGAAAGAGCACACGGCCACATCAGGTTTGGCTATCATCAGGAAAGTGATGATATAGCAAAGAAAGATCCCTGTCAACAGAACGTAGCTGAGTTCCCGCCCAGATGCCCGGACGATGGGCGTGTCATTGTAGCGGATGAAAGTCACCATGACAAAGATGGTGGCGATGATCCCCAACATTGCCAGGAAGACGGGGATAACAGCCCAGGGGGAGTGCCACTCAAGTTTGATGATGGGGATATCCTGGCAGCCGGTTCGGTTTTCATTGGGTCGTTGGTCGTAGGGGCAATGCTGGCATGTCATCTCATCAAACTGGTACTGGTACCCGTCGCAGGGCTCACAGGTCCAGCAACAAGGGGTTCCCTTCTGCGTCTTCTTTCTTTGCCCGGGCTTACAGGGTAGTGTGCACACCGAGGGGGGGATCTCCCGGACTCCTTTACCCCACTGCATGTCCTCTATCTGCAGCATAAGAAACAAGAAGGTGGAAGAGGCAGATTACTGAAGAGAAAAGAAAAAGAACAGCAGGCAGCAGCTGACATTTGGGGCTTGGTGAGGTTACACAGCTTTCCCCTGGCTGGTAAGAGTGACAAGCAGCAATTGACCCCACGCCATCTCACTCCAGCAACCTCACTCTTCACCATTAAAGAGTGTGTTCCAAACGTGCTTGATTATAAGAATTCCCTGAGACAAAAATTTAAAATACACTCTCCCTGTTCCCATATCTGACCTCCCAAATGTGAATATTTCGAAACATACAAAACCTTGGGATCTGTGTTTTTAACAAGTGCCCAGAGGACTTTGAGCAGATCAACTAAGAAACACTGATGTGAGCTCTACTGCCTCCCCCTGGATAATAAGTGCAAATGTCCCAAATCAAGTTAAAACAAGAACAACAAAAACCTTTAATAATGTGAAAAAGTACACTCTGTATAATATTTATTTATTTTTTTTTACAAAAGAACCTTGTTAGGTGCTTTTATAAAAATTGTTTTTTAAATTATTTTGGATGCTACTGTGGTACTGACACCGTCTCTAAAATTCTGTAGGGATCACTGCCATTTTCATTGAGAATTTTTGAAGCAAAGTGAATATATTCTTTTACTTATCACAGAGGAACAATAAGGCTCATTATTAAAGATTTTAATTGTACTAGACTATATCCTAAAAGTTCAGGAAGCATTTGATAAGAAAATAATATGGTCTGGGAACCTTTCAAGATTGGCCATGCACCTATATGGAGAGGAAATTTAAACTAAAACACTATATCTTACAGGAGAATGGAAGTGCATTTGCTTAATTAGAATATTGGTTTTCTGGAGAAGAACTCATCACCAGTGGTATTCTGAGAAATTGGGACATTAGAAACAATGTAAAGCCTTACTATTGGGCTGAAATCTCATTGTAGTGAGCATCTGTCCTCTTTGCTCACACAGCATCTGCTCTTCCTCTTTCCTGACATCAGGTGCTTGGATTTCTACATGCTTTCTGTGGAGTTGAACTTACACTGAACCTCCAGGGTTGCACATAACCTGGCCAGTTAGTATATTAGGGTGGTTCTCAAACTTAAGTGTGCATAAGAATCACTTGGAGTATTGGTAACAGCTCAGTTTGCTAAACCCCACTCCCAGATTTTCTGATTCGTTAGGTCTGGGATGGGGCCTGAGAACATGCATTTCTAACAAGATCCTCAGTGATGCTGAGGGGGACTGTCCAGGCACTACCCTTTGATATGTCCAACCTCCTAGCCATAGAGATTGAGTCAAGGGTGGGATCATTATTTCCCAAGTCATAAAATTTATTTTCGTAACTTTTACTGAGATTACACAGGATAAAAATCATTGTTTCTGCTGAACTTGGAGTTTCCAGGATATAAGGCTGCTGGTGCTCATGGCTACAAGAAAAGAGTTTATCAGAGAAAGAAGCCACCACAAAGGAAAACAGTGTGGAGAGAAAAAGATTCCTGGTGAAGTTACTGGATGTAGCTCTGCCTGAAGCAGAAATTTCCGTAGACTATGCCATTATGTAAGGCAGTAAGTTCAACTATACTAAAACACTTTAAAATTTATTTCTGTTACTGGCAAACAAGAGTCCTAAGCAATATATGCGTTAAATGCATAGTTTCAGTATCCACAAAGGAAAAAAAAAAAACAAACAACTAAGTCAGTAGATCATTTTACAGAATAAATTCTAATTTAAAAATATGGCTGATTTTCCCTGTACCTGGTTAATTGAAATTTTTGGGTTTTGGTTATAAATATTCATGGGGTACAAAGCAAATTGTTACCACTCATGCCCAAGATGTGATGGCCAGATCCATATTGGCAGCATGCCCATTACCACAAATGGTGATTATACCCCATGTCCTCCACCCAATTATTGCTGACCTCCTTCCCCAACCCCTTTGCCCCACTCCACTTTGTATCCCTAGGTGTGTTCTCTCCCTCTGCAAGCCCAACGCACCACTGTGGTCTTTCTTTCCTTCCATCTTTCTCTTTTAGCTCCCATTTATGAGTAAGGACGTGTGGTATTTATCCCTCTGTGCTTTGCTTATTTAACTCAACATAAGCTTCTCCAAGCTCATCCATATTATTGCAAATGGGAGAATTTCATTCTTTTTTATGGCAGGGTAGTATTCCATGGTGTATATACACCACAGTTTCCTTATCCAGTTGTCCATTGATAGACATTTCAGTTGGTTCCATATCTTGGCTATTGTGAATAGAGCTGTGATAAACATGGTAATACAGGTATCCCTTCAACATGATGATCTCCATTCCTTTGGGTATATACCCAAAAGTGGGATTGTGGGATCATATGTTGTTGTTTGAGAAAATGCCATACTGTTTTCTGTAGTGGTTGTACTAATTTACAGTCCCACCAACAGTATAGGAGGGTTCCCTTCTCTCCACTTTCTTGCCTGCATTTGTTATTCTTCATCTTTTTGATTATAGTCAGTATAACTGAGGTGAGGTGATATCTCAATGTGGTTTTAATTTGCATTTCCCTGATGACTAGTGATGCTGAGCATTTTTTTCATGTACCTGTTGGCCATTTGTATGTCTTCCTTGGAAAATGTCTGTTCAGTTCCTTTGCCCATTTTTTAATTGAGTTATTTGGGTTTTTTTTTTTTTTTTTTTTACTGTATAATTGCTTGAGTTCTCTGTATATTCTGGGTATTAATTCCTTGTCAGATGCAAAGCTATCACAAATTTTTTCCCACTCTGTAGGTTGTCATTTCACTCTGTTGATTGTTTCCTTTGCTGTGCAGAAGGTTTCGAGTTTGATATAGTCCCATTTGTTTATTTTTCCTTCTGTTGCTTGTGCTTTTGGGCTCATGTTCACAAAGTCGGTACCCGGATCTAGTTCCTAAAGTGTTTCACCTATATTTTTCCTTAGTAATTTTACAGTTTCATTTCTTATACTTAAGTCTTCAATCCATTTTGAGTTGATTTTAGTATATGATGAGAGCTACATGTTTAGTTTCATTCTTCTGCATATGAATATCCAATTTTCCCAGCACCACTTATTGAAGAGGCAGTCTTTTCCCCAATGTATGTTTTTGCTGCCTTTGTCAAATATCAGATGGCTGTAAGCCTGAGAAGTGATTTCTGGGTTCTCAATTCTTCTCCAGTGGTCTGAGTGCCTATTTTTATGCCAGTACCATGCTGTTTTGGTTACTATAGCTTTGTAGTATAATTTGAAATCAGATAGTGTTATGCCTCTGGTTTTATTTTATTATTTTTTGCTCAGGATTGCTTTTGCTATTTAGGGTCTTTTTCTGTTCCATATGAATGTCGAGACTGTTTTTTCCATTTCTGTAAAGAATGCCATTGGTATTTTGATGGGGATTGAATTGAATCTGTAGATTGCTTTGGGTAGTACAAACATTTTCACAATGTTAGTTCTTCCAATCCAAGAGCATGGATTGTCATTCCATCTTTTTGTGTCTAATTTCTTTCAATAATGGTTTATAGTTCTCATTGTAAAGATCTTTCACCTCCTTGGTTAAATTGATTGCTAGGTATTTTATTTTTTGTGTGAGTATTGCAAATGGGCTTACTTTCTTGATTATTCTTTCTTTTCATTCAATACTGGAGAATATAAATGCAACCGATTTTTGGTCATTTATTTTGTATCCTGCAACATTACTGAAATTAACAACCAGCTCTAGGAGTTTTTTGACAGTCTTTAGGTTTTTCTATATACAGTTTCACATCATCTGCAAATAGGGACAGTTTGACTTCATCTTTTCCAGTCTGGATGCCCTTCATTTCTTTCTCTTGCCTGATTGCTCTGACTAGTACCTCCAGTTCTATGTTAAATAGAAGTGGTGAGAGTGGGCATCCTTGTCTTGTTCCTATTCCCTATTCAGAATGATACTGGTGGTGGGCTTGTCATAGATGGTTTTTATTGTGTTGAGATACTTTCCTTCTATACCTAATTTGTTGAGAGTCTTCATCATGAAAGGATGTTGGATTTTGTCAAATGCTTTTTCAGCATCTATTGAGATAATCATATGGTTTTTGTCCTTGATTTTATTGATGTGATGTATCACATTTGTTGACTGTTGTATATTGAACCATCCTTGCATCCCTAGGATGAATCCCACTTGATCATGGTGTATAATTTTTTTGATGTATTTCTGTATTCTGATCCCTAATATTTTGTTTAAGATTTTTGCATCTATGTTCATCAAGGATATTGGCATGTAATTTTCTTTTTTTGTTGTGTCTTTATCTCATTTTCATATCAGTTTTATGTTGGCCTCATAGAATGAGTTTGGGAGAATGGCTTCTGTTTCAATTTTTTGGAATAGTTTGAAGGGAGTTGGTATTAAATCCTCTTTAAAGGTTTGGTAGAATTCAGCTGTATAGCCATATAGACCTGGGCTTTTCTTTGTTGGAAGATTGCTGATTACCACTTCAATCTCATTGCTTGTTTTTGTTTGTTCAGTTTTTCTATCTCTTCTTGGTTCAGTCTGGGTAGTTTGTATGTGTCCAGAAACTTATCCATATCCTCCAGGTTTTCATATTGTCATACAAGTGTTTATAATAGTCTCTAATGATTCTTCATACTTTTGTGGTATTGGTTGTAATGTCCCCCTTTTCATTTCTGATTTTGTTATTTAGGTCTTCTCTCTTCTTATTTTTGGTTAACCTAGCTAATAGTTTGTCTATTTTATTTATCTTCTCAAAAGACCAACTTTTTGTTTTGTTGATCTTTTCTATATTTTTTTTGGGGGGGAGGTCTATTTCATTTAGTTCTGCTCTGATCTTAATTATTCTCTCTGTCTACTACCTTTAGGATTGGATTGTTGTTGTTTTTCAAGTTCTTTGAGGCATAGTGTTAGGTCGTTTATTTGAAGTCTTTCCCTTCCTTTGATTAAGCATTTATTGCAATAAATTTGCCTCTTAGTACTGCTTTTGAAGTATCCCACAGGTTTTGTATAATGTATCTTT